CCATCCAGATGTGTGTGTGTGTGTGTGTGTGGATGGGTGTGTATTGTGTATTGTGGATTTTCGCCGCCACAGTATAAGGGTTGCAATTGTGAGCAAGGAGACATACATTAAGGAGTATGCACAGCGGCCTAGCTGTAGCACTATGACATCATCCGAGTCTGCAGGTTGTGCAGCAGGGGGAGGTTCATCCAATTCTGCAGATTGCACGGCAGGCGGAGATTCCTCCGACTGAATTAACTCCATTGGATCTAGCATGCGCTCCGGAGAGAGATCACCTCGAGTAGGAGGCTCCATCCGGTGGTCAGAAGGTGGATCATCATCATTCGCGGCGGGAAGCAAGCAGGGTTGGGTGGATGAGGAATAGGCGGGCCAGATGCAGGAAGCGGAGGTTGATCAGCCGCACTTGTACTCAGAGTGGCTGCTACCGTCTTCACCCGAATAGAACGCCCGGTCATTATCGCTGTATGTGGACTGGAAATTGCACCAAATACGGCTATAATGACCGGGCGTTCTATTCGGGTGAAGACGGTAGTCGTGCAAATGCTGTGCGGGTAGCTGCACCTCGTGTCCGGTGCACACACAGGCCTGGAGCACTGAAGAAATCATCCCCACATTGTGAGCATCGGACTCGATACGTACTACTCCTGGATGCTTCTGCCACTACTCCTGGCTACTGAGGCAGAAGCATCCAGCGTCACATCGACCGTTACAGATGCCTCTTCAGCGGAGACGTCCCCCGTCTCCACTGCCGCCTCCAAGACTGGAAGGAGAAGACATGAGGGGGAAGAGGTATGAAGATGTCGTCAACTCAATGTTGCCCATACGAAGTCTCCAAAAATAGTCTCCCAATGCCTCTGTCCAGATATCAGTCTGAGTCCAATGTCACCAAGTCTCAACTCTGAGAATCTCTCGCCCTCTCATAGAAGAAGAGGAGGAGGAGAAGGAGAAGGAAGAAGAAGAAGAAGAAGAAGAAGAAGAAGAAGAAGAAGAAGAAGAAGAAGAAGAAGAAGAAGAAGAGGGATGGAGGAGGAAGAGAAGTGATGGGGCTGGAGAGAGAAGAAAGAAGAATCCTCTTGGAATCTCTCAAAGGTGGAGCCAGATACTGACCAGCGTCAAGGTGTCTCCTTAGAGCTGTGATGCAGGTGGAAGACGCCCAAAGATGAACAGGAGCTATGGCGCCAGGTAAGTCTGCAGGTGAGGGTCTCCTAGTCTGGCCTCCGCCCTCGACTTCCTAATCCACTACTCTACTCTCCTCTACCGAAACGAAACAGTGCTGCTCAGCAGCGTATAGACCTCAACCGCCACCTGTGTGTGCCACAAATGAGGCGGGCCCAGCTATATATACTGCTCGGCCTACAGCTGTGTGGCCGAAGAAGGCAATGAACTGGCACTCAACTGAAAAGGAGTATATCTTGGCCCCCAAAATGAAAAGGAATGAATTAACGAATCTTGGCGCCCAAACTGAAAAGGAACGAACTTGGCGCCCAAACTGAAAGAAAAGCAGTGAACTGGCGCCCAGCCTGAATCTGGCCTAGGGAGCGGCCACTCGCACTCTGCTGTCAGATACACTCGGACTAAGGGAACAGTCACTGAACCAGACCAAAACAGGGCCTGAAGCTGACCAGAAAAAACAATGCTGAGGCCCAAAAAAAGAACGAAGGAACCCCCTAATCTCCCTCCTCCTAGCCAACCCCCTAAAACCTACTACCGGGTCCAAGGGGCCCATGTGGAGAGGAGAGCCAGGCATCTCCCTTGTTTCAGTCATCGCATGTGGAAAGCAGAGCCAGGGATGGAAGTTTCTGTATAGGGAAAGTTTTCCATATTGGGTAACCAGCACCAACGGACCTGCCGAAAATTTGTGCTGCAGTGGGGTCCGGTTTCAAGTTTCAACTTTTCATAAATTAAAAAAAAAAAAAAAAAAAAAATCATAGTCCTTTACCAGACTGACGCTCCCCAGAATGGATATGGAGCCAGGCCAGTAAGGCCCTGTTTTATGAATTAAAAAATAATAATAATAAATAAAAATAATTGTCCTTTATGAATCGATCCAGAGACAATAAGCATGACCCCGGTGCGAGAGAAACAAACAAATCCAGAAATGGTCCAAATTACCAAACATGAAAATAATATTAACAAAAAAAAAACAGAAAAAAGAATGGCCAGTCCAAATGAAAATAAATTCAAGAATTTAAGAAACAAATTTCAACCCCCCCCCCCCCCCCAAAAAAAAAAACTTCCTGAAAATGGGAATTTTGACTCAATTAAATTTCTTTTTTTTTTAGGAACAAATTTCAACCCCCCCCCCAAAAAAAAAAACGTTTTTTTTTTTTCCTTCTGAAAATGGGAATTTTGACTCAGTTGAGTACTTCAYTTTYTTTTTTTTTTTTTTTTACTGTTTTGAGGTCAAGACCAGCAAGTGATTGATTAGCTTACTAGGGCAATCATCTCTGGGCGTGTCTCTCTCCGCCAGGATATGCTCGAATGTGCCTGCCCAAGCTTCTCTCTTCGTTAAAGGTCCATCTTTCAAATTGAACAATTTGCGCACCGTTGCTGGGATCGAAGAATGCTCATACTCTGACGTAGGTGTCGGGCCATTAGCACGATGATAAACTGCATGGTATCCCAATTCAATGGAATGGAAAGCCAAAAAGGTCAATCAACCGCACCAAGGTCGCATAAATAAACAGCATTGTAAGTATTATTATTTATTTTTTTTGTTTATATTATATTGTTTATTGTTTATTTTTTATTCAACTTTATTGTTATTATTTTGTTTTTTTTTTACAGCATCACCCACTGTGATGTTTCAAATCGAGCTGCACAAAGAACGTCAACGAAACCGTTAAAAAAATAAGAAGAGGAAAAAGAAAAAGAACAAGAAAAAAGCCATGACTGAACTGCTGCTCTCAATAGTCTATTAACATCAACATTATCCAAAAAAAAAAAAAAAAAACACTACAAATTTGTTGAAAATCAATTGCATTAACAATTAATCCATATCCAATCATTTTCAAGAGAACATGATATGAACTGCACAATATACGTCATAATGGGCCTCGCTCCATGACACATCATTCGATCTGTATGTGTACCGAGTGTGGTCCCAATACATTCAAAACGTTCGGCTAGCCGGAACGTTATCTGGTATCTGGGTAAAGAAGCACTCCATATCCCCAATACTTGCTCTTAAAAAAAAAAAAAAAAATAGTGGGTCTCCCGTGACTGTCCCACGCCAGAGACGCTGCTGCCAGTGTTGGGAAAACCATCGTGGGGCGCCACGGTGTAGCAGCCGCCCGACAACGGGCCCAACTTATTGCTCCCCTTTTTTTGCGTGTGTGTTTTCGTTTCGTATTTGCTTTCCTGGCAGTTTCGTCGCACCACTTGGTTGGGGAAACACAGGTCGAGCAGCAAGGAAAATCTACGGCCTTCTAGGCTCTTCCAAAAGTGCAGGCCCTGGGCGAGATTTGCAGCCTCATACACAGACAGTTGAGAGGCCCAACTGAATGAGGCCCAGTAGCTGCACCAGAGGCGCAGCATCCTGGGGCCTACCGGAAGCTTCTGGGCCCAGGCCCAGGCCAGCCAGGCTGCGAAGGCAGGCAGACACTTTCCATATAGGAAAGAGCTCACTGCCTGGACGGGGCATTCGGGCACTCGCATGCTGGCGGCAGCGCTGCTGGAGCTGAAGCTCATGGGCTGCTGCTAGCGCTGAGAGGCGAGGTGCTAGCACGTGCGGTCGTGCAGGGAGTAGGGCGCTTCTACAGTGAGGCGCACGGGTGGTCTTCGGGTGTTCAACAAGGGAAGACGTGGGAGAGAGTCAAGGGAGAGAGAGAAGGATGATGATGATGATGATGTGAGGGCACATACCTGGTACTGGCGATGGTCTTGCATGGGCGACATCTTCAAGTACTTCGGAGGCTGCTGACGTCAACAGTTGCATTGTCAATTAGTAGGCTAGTAGTAGCTGTGTAGGGAGTAGGCTGGGCGCCGAGCGCCAAGTATGGAGATAGGGACTGGATACATATGTTGGTGGTGGCGAGAGCAAGCTCTCATTGACATTGGCTTTCAGTGCTACTATTCTCCATTGGTGTCATATTGGTGCAATGCTACTTTCTGAACACTGGGATACGATCTGGCTTGCAATGTGATTGTGCAATCTGAATATTGTCATCTCGCTTCTGTTCATTTTCCTAGCATACAGATGCACAAAAAAAAAAAAAAAAGAATTCCTGATGCAGTGGCGGGTGCCTCTGTCTTTTTTTTTTTTTTTTAAGCATGGTTAAAACATCATCAAGGGGTGCCTCTTTGTCTATTTCGTCGTTTTCAGGAAGATCGTTGCAGCTGGCACTGTTTCTATGGGTCTCGCTCCACTACTGTACACTCTCCGAATTCGGAGAGTTCGGCATCACTCCACTTACTCTCCACTATACACATGCGGAAGATATTGGTCTTAGATTGCACTCTCCATCCGTGTATAGTTCCCAGCCTGCGAAAGTCGTTACTCGGATGCTCCTCAAAGGAAACCACGGACCCGCCGCCTTTTTGGATGGTGAGCCTCGAGTCTGGACCGACAAATCTGACCTTTCGCCGTTTTGCACTATCCGAATGCGACCACTATTGTCCGCTATAAACCACCCTTTTTTTTTCTTTTCTTTTCTTTTTTTTTTCCAAGTCGTTTTATTCCAGAAGAGAAACAGGGGCCCGGGAATACACCCCACAATTCAACCCCGTACAGATACATGCTCGGGCCTTTACCCCACTGTAGGCTCTTGGGAACCGTGATGATGATGATGATGAGAACAGCAGAGCCAGATCAAAAAGCCTGACCCCAAAGCACGTGCACACATGGCCGTCGATGTCACAGCAAAATGCACCAAGAATCTCAAATTATTAAGCTAAAAAACAAGATATGAACGTGGACGCCCATGTATCGTCACTGTCGGTCATAGCCCGCGTGACATCACCTCCCCTCCTCCATACTAGAATAGAGGTGCACCCCAAGAGACAAACTTAGGTGTCTGGCCAATCCCCTAGCGTTAAGCTGCCAACCTCCTCCACCGTTGCTACCATTCCAGCTTGTGCTCCACCCCCGTTATAGTTATTGCCGTTATTATTCCAGTTTCCACCACCTTGGTTCTGTCGAGGAGCGTTGCACTCGCAGCAACGCTGGTGTGGCCGATCTGGTTGCAATCGTAACACCGTACCGATCTTGGGAACCGTGTCCACTGTCCCTCTACTAAACTGTTCTCTAAAAAATTAACAAGAAAAAGGAGTCCTCTGAGAGTCTGAGAGGCCGATCTTCAGAGTTACACTTTTGATTTTTTTTTGTTTTTGTTTTTTTTTTGTTTTGGAACACGGCTCCAATCTATTCGTGGGGAGCAGCACGTGCTGGGAACCAGGCCCAGCGTCCCATATGAAAATTAAACAGATGGTTTGGGAAAAAAAAAAAAAAAAAAAAAAAAAGAGTTACACTTTTGAATCTTGTGAAATCTTGTGATGTTTCCACCACAGCCACCTTTGCCTATACCTTTCTAAATTACCCCATCAAGGTGGACGTCTAAAGCGCTCTCCGCTCTCCGTTCCCTGTTGGGGAGAGTAGCCAGGGGGAGAAGCATAGCATAGCCTGCCTTCTGCAGTAAACTTCACCTAATCTGGACTCCCTCCCCCACGTGTCCCAAAACCACTTTCTGTATCCGCCCTTCGAAACCAATCGCTTCGAAACCAATCACTATTGATAGATAAACGAATCTGCTGAGCGATTGTATTCTTGATTACGGGATCTGAGATGTACTTGCTTCTGACTACAAACTAGTACAAAGTTATAAGCCACATTTTGGAGTCAAATTGGAGAGTTAGTTGTATACGGCTCCACTACTGTATGCTATAAAACCACATTTTGGAGACGAATTGGCGAGTTGTATACTGGATAGTAAGTGGAGCAATGCCGCAGACTCTAGTACGGTTTTTTTTTCACCAGCTATACACAAACTCTCCGAGAATCTGTATAGCAGATAGTAGTGGAGTAGGACCCTATGGGCAGCGCCACACACACCACTCTCGAAATGTGAGAAATGAGAATGAACTTCCCTCTAGATCATGGCGGGATGCGGCCCCCACATTTTTGCCGTTTTGAAATTTTGAGAGTGGTGTGGCCACGCCCTCTGAGTCGTGGCGGCAGGGAGTTATTTCCTCTTTTTTTTCTTTTTTCTTTTTTTTTTTGTTCGAAAAGGCGGGGAGTTATTTCCGGATTTTGTCCTTCAGGAACTCTGCCTTGTATACACTCATTACAGGGGTGTGTTGTGTTCGGGGGAGGATGGTAGATTCGAGCGCCCCCCCCCCCCATTGGCCTCGCTCCACTAGACAAGATTCGAAATTTATCTGGTCTGTTTCGGGGGTACCACATTCGAAATGTATCTGGTCTGTCTACACTCGTTACATACAGGGGTGTGGTGTGTTCGGGGTTACCGACAGCAGTGCCATGGTCCACCCACTCTGGACCATGGGCCTCGTCACTCCACTAGACAACATTCGAAATGTATCTGGTCTGTTTTGTTATCCAGATACGGTCCGACTCGACAAACATTTTGAATGTATCCCGGCCAACTCCCGAGCCAGATGCATTTGGATCGTTGTGTAGCGGAGCCAGGTCCTATGTTATAGGGTCTCGCTCCACTACTGTCCACTGTACAAAAATGGACAGTTCGACTTCGCTCCACTTACTACTGTCCACTGTCCATGTGCGAAATCCCTCGGACAGTTGTCAGAAACCGCATGGAACGTCGACTGTCCATTTAAAAATAATAATAATAATAATAATAATAATAATAATAATAATAATAATAAAATAAAATAAAATCGACTGTCCATTTTTGTACAGCTCCCAGCCTGCACAAGACGTTTCCTGGACGGTCCTCCTAGGAATCCACTCCACGGACCCTCCGCCGTTTTAGACAGTGAGCCTGGAGTCTGGGCGGACAAGTGTGCAAGTTTTGGAGTTTTGCACTGTCCGGCCATTCCAACTTTTGTACAGTGCTTCGTGGCACTGGTACTCCGGGACACTGCTCGGATGTCCGCCCAGCTCTGCGGACACACTACTCGGTATATCGCGAGCCTTGCGATGACGAGATCGAACGGCCATTCCGATTTGGCAGAGGCCAGATCACTTTCAGGATTCCCGCCAAAAAAAATTGGGACCCGCATGTCCCACGACGCTTCTGGCTTGGACAGCGGCGTCATCGCTCCACCAACTACTGTCCACTGTCCGTGCGAGTTTTCGAGAAGATCTGCTCAGTTGTATAGTGGACAGTAAGTGGCGCGATGTCGCATTTTCCACTGTCCGCTGTACAATATTTCGCTCTGACAACTGTCCACCAACTGTCCGAAAAAATGTACAGTGGACAGTAGTGGAGCGAGACCCATAGTTTGAACTGCCTCCCAAGTGCTACCGACAGTAGATGGGGAGTTTGAACCCAGGTTAGGAAAAAAAAAACAAAAAAAAAACAGGTTAGGGCCTCTCCACACCACTGTCGAACTGTCGAAACGAAAAACAAACGAATGCATCTTCTTCCTGCGGAAAAGGGCAAGATGCATGGGATACTATGAATAGCAATGGATGCACCTTACCACTTTCTGGGGCAGATGCATTCGTCCTCTTTTCGTTTCGACAGTGGTGTGGCTAGGCCCTGAAGAGGGGGACTTCTTTTTTTCTTTCTAATAATAAGGGCGAGTTCTTTTTACTAATAAGGGCGGAGGGCCGAGTTATTTTTTAGGGGTAACTTCAGCGCAGTCACGAAAACGGTTTGTAATCGCATTGGAAACTGCGTTTTAGCAGTTTAGTCAGGGCCCGAGTTTCAATTGCAGTTGAAACTCGGGCTGCCTTTCCGTAGCAGTTCAGTCAGGGCCCTGGTCTATCCACGAACAGCAGATTGAAAAGAAAAAAAAAAAAAACATCCCTAATGCTGTGATTGCGGTCCGATACAGGATGCTACAGTACTTGTCTGGAACTCAATGAAGCGTGGAATCCGCCCTGCCTGGCTGGCAGGGCGCTACAGGGACCTCACAACAAGAAACAAAAAAGGAAAACGACCTGTTTCATGTTCCTCACTTCCTGGCCAGATATATTCATCAAAGCACTGGTGACCCGAGACGGAGGTGGATTCGAAGTTCCTCGTTTCTTTACTTTTTTATTTCTTCTTTTTTTTTTTTTTTTTTTGGCCTCCATCCGTGCCCCGAGGCCCCCACTTTTCGGAGTAGGCTACTCTTGAGACTTCGCGTTTGCCTGTGAAGGGTAGTGCCTGCGAATCTCTGCTGTGACCGAGAGAGAGAGAGAGAGAGAGAGAGAGAGAGAGAGAGAGAGAGCAGAACCATGATGTGCATGACATGGGGGGGGCTGCACAGGCCCAAAATGCCCAGCCACAGAGGCCCAAGTCCATGCAAAACGACGGAGGGCGCAGCAGAAGGATGACAACATGGGCAAATTTCTTATATACCCGGTTTGCTCCCATCCCAAGGCCAGGGGAACGGCCGCGACTGCCAACAACGGCCGTGGGGGGCATACTGAAAACATGCATGGTACCGGTACGGCGACATGGCAAATTCTGGAGCAGGTCCTCGACGGCCAACAGGTAGGGGCATACTGGAAATTTGGCGGCGGTACCGGTAGGGGCATATTGAACATATTTCAGGCCCAAGTGACGCCAGGGTTTTTCTGGAAACTTGAGTCGTTGTCAGAGGGGCAAATCAGGCAAAATTTGGCCGTCCGAGGGCACATCGTAAATAAAAGGAAAATTCAGGGGCATTTTGGTCGTCAGTCACTGACCTTATTTTTTGTATATCCATCTGCTCCCATCAGGATTTGAATTTTACATTAAACTCGTCATCATCTGTTTACCACGCCAGACGCTATCCATGCTTAAAACTTAAAACTACTTTTTTTTTTTTTTTTTTTTTTTCGAGTTAAAACTTTGGCTACCGTCAGAGACTGACTATTCTCTGACTATTCTCTGTCTGACTATTGTCTGACTGACTATTCTCTGACTGACTATTCTCTGACTATTCCCTGACTATTCACCATCCCCATAGCACAGAGCAAGACCAATCTATCTACCGATCCTTGTCTTCTTTTGGTGTAAAAAAAAGCACACTTGCCAGCCACACACACACACCCACACACAGAGAGAGAGAGAGAGAGCGAGAGAGAGAGAGAGAGAGAGAGAGAGAGAGAGAGAGAGAGAGAGAGCATTGGGAGGGAGGGGGAGGAGAATATCACCAACCTTTTCCTTTGTTAAGCCAAGGAGAGACCATGATGGTGGGGACACGAACTCCTAGCCTTGTGAAGTCGAACTCGTACGGAGGAGGTCCGATCAGTCCATCGGGATTGGGCACTCCCTTGACCGGGGTCGGTACATGGTCGTAAAAGCCGCCATGTTCATCGTAGGTGATGATCAGCAAGGTTTCCTTCCAAGCAGGGCTACTGCGGAGCGTCTCGTACACCTCCTTGACAAACATCTGCCCTCTGCTTAAGTCATGGCTTGGATGGTCGTCGTTCGCAGGAAATCCGTACAGATCGAAGTACCTCGGCTCGATTACTACGTAATTGGGTAGTTTCCCCAATCGAGCGTCCGTTTTAAATTTCCAAAACGTGTGGAACTTAGTCGCAAACCTCGGCGAGCGAAGCGATCGGAAGAAGAGAGTCGTGGGCGCGTTGTTGAAATACACGCCGAAGGTCAATCCGCTTTCATCAAGCGATTCAAAGATAGGTTTTTGTGGGAAGCCGAGGGCCAACTCTTCTCGTACATTGCTCATCGCCCCGTGTGACGTGGCAGAATGGACGTAAAACCGGTTAGGTTCGGTGGACCCGGGCACGGAGGCGAACCAATGATCGAAAACGACAAACTCCTCCGCTAGGGCGGTATAGGCGGGAACGGCCTCTGGGCGAAACCCACTCATCACTCGCTGAGGAAATCCTGTGTTAGGATAGAGTGCTTCTGCATTTTGGGCGAAGCCGTTCATGGGAGGGGGGGGGCCTTCGTCCGTAGGACGATGCCACGTGGTGACATTGCGTGGGACGCCGAAGACCTGTTCCCTGATTGACTGATAGGAATGCCCTGGGTCGGGATCGACGTACTCGGCGTGGTCAGCCACAAAGACACGTGGAGAGTCGGGATCTGACACGTTCATTGGATTGCTCTCGGTGCCATCTAGGCCGTCGATCTCCGGATTGCGACGCTTCAAGAAACCAAGAAGATGGTCGAAGGATCGATTCTCCATAACCAACACCACTACGTGCTTGATTTTGCTGTCCTTGGGGAGTGTGGAGGTATGGTGGCGGTGATGGCGTCGGCCAAGAAGAGCGGCGGCGGCGGCGGCGGCGGCGGCGGATGGTGATTGCTCAGTGTTTTCACCGAGAAAGCGCGCCGGATCCGGATTCGCATTGGGATCAGCATTAGCGCGCCCCCCCGCCTCCGCCTCCCCCTCCCCCTCCGCCTGTCCAGGGCCCGCCGCCTTGCCCGCGCCTGCCTTTCCCGCCGCCAGCTCTGCGAGTTCTTCCACTTGCAATCCCGATCGCGATTGCTTCGAGACCGTCGCACATGCTTGGCGCGCAGGGCCGCTCGTCCCGACGAGGTACAACATCAGCAGCAGCGCCGCCGTCGATCGAGTTCTCGCACAGCTGCCGAATAACGATGAGATCCCGGCACCGCCAGCGCGGCTGCGCCGCCGTCCCGGCGCATGATGCCGTGGCGCTCGCTGGCTCCCCCACCTCGTCGTCAGTTCGCTCCAGCCGTCCATGATGATGATGATGATGATGATGAATAATCACCGTTTGCTCCTTGATTGGCTACTTGCTCCCCCGTGCTGCGCGCCAACGGCCTGTCGCATTACCAGGTCAAAGAAACAGTCCACTACAGTCAGACAGAAACAGAGATCAAAAAAAAAAAAAACAGAGAAGTAGAAACGGAGAGAAACGAAAAGGTTGTTTTCACAGTCAGACACAAAGAGAGAGAGAGAGAGAGAGAGAGAGAGAGAGAGAGAGAGAGAGAAGGAGAAGAGGAGAAGAGGAGAAGACCTGTATGTGAAGCAACCATACCACGTCACCACGTCAAGCTGCGTCTTAGTATCTTGGGTGGGTGTACTGTGGTAGCATGGAAGTCATAATCAATATATATATATATACTCTAAACTGCGTGTACAGGCGGCGTCTTTGCTTGGATCCGAAGAGGCACGCTGACGTGGCGAGCTGTTACATCCGCCCCGCGAGCGCGCCACATCAGCTACCGTCTTCCTCGCGAACACAACGCACCTTCATTATGCCTGTAGCGGACCGGAAAGATCGGTTCTACACAGAGTCATTATCAGGGTGCGGTATGTTCGGGGGAAGAGGGTAGCTGGCGTGTGGCTTCACGCGCGCGCTTTGCGCATCCGCCCGCGAGCGCGCCAAATCAGCCAGTTAACTGGCTGGCTTTTGACGCTACGCGCGCTGTGCGCATCCGCTCGCGAGCGCGCCAAATCAGCCAGTGAAAAGCTGGCTATTGACGCTACGTGCGCTTTGCGCATCCGCTCGCGAGCGCGCCACATCAGCCAGTTAGCCGGCTTTTGACGCTACGCGCCGAGTTTTTCCCGCCACGTCAGCTGGACGGCTGCCTCTCAATGGCCGGTTGACCAGCCGCCACGCCAGTTGCCACAGCAGCTGACGTGGCTGTAGTCGCCTGAGAGCCACCGCCGGTGGATGCCACCTCATCGCCTGCCGATTCACGTTTTTTCTTTTTTTCGTTTTTACTATTCACGTTTCATTCGTGCCAAGGCTTTTAATATATATATATATCGTCAAATAGAACTGCCCGGTAAACCGTAGGCAGAGAGGGAGAAGAGGACAACAAACGAGGGGCTGTGTATCCAGCGGCCTAGCTCAGTTGGTAAGGCACGCAAGTGGCATTCAGGAGGTCTTGGGTTCAATCCCGATTGGCCTCATGTACCTTCCTGGGCATGCTTGGCGCCCGCCACCTAGAGATAGGCCGTTGGTCCCCCCAATTGGCATTAAAAGGCAGTCTCTGCTGATGTTCATAGGGGGAGGGGTACTCAGGGAGGCACAGCGACTGGCCACTCAGATGATGCTCGGTCCCTCTGCTACCGGCTGTCCCCTGGCCGGTGGCCGTGGGGGATCCCTGATGGCTATCAGGCCACCCTGGGCACCGTTGTCAGATTAGACACAAGATTGAATTTACCTGGGTTTGCCCTTTTAAAAAAAAAAGAACAAAAATATAT